ATCCTCGAGCTTCTTTGCGTGGTGACCGATGCTGGATTTTCGTGCCACGGTCGGAACCACGCGTATCGGTCTGCGAAGCGTGTTAATGCTCCGGATTGTTGGCTTGGCAGCGGTGATACTGGCTGGAGCAGCTCTCGGTACTGTCTCCTCGGTGGCCGGGCGATAGCGAAGTTTGATGATCGGCTTTTCGGTGGTTTTCTCCAACCGCTCCCAAAGAATTTTCTCTTTGAATCGTTGTTTCGGTTCATAGCTTCCTTGTTACTAGTCTCCTCGCAGGTAGTGAATCGAGGCAGTTTTCCATTGCCGGACGAATTCGTGGATATTTATACAGAAACGGCATCATAAAAACTATATCCCGCACGGGATAAGAATGACTCTTTACGCGATTCGTTGTTTTTAATTTGTTTGGTGGAACTTTCTGTCTCAACTTTCGTCAGTTTCGAAACTATTTATATTTTTGGTCGGTGCGGATTTTAAATCTTGTATGTGTATGTGTCGATGCCACCTTTCCTCGTCGTCGCGCAAGTCGAAAATTACCGGAGAAATTATCTTTTGAATGGACCCGGTAAAAGTCGGCGATAATTTTGCCGCGATGGCATCTTTTTTGTTCGAGAGAGTGTGCATGCGCTATCCTATTTCCAATGGCGGATTTCCAGGCGCGGTGTTGCATGTCGTAATACTTCATTTGGAAGTCACTCGCGTAAGCGAGGTTGGCGCACAACTTCGTATACCTCCCGGAGGATACGACAATTGGTTTCTGGCGGCGATACGGTGGTGTTGATCCGCGGAGAAGGGACTATTCAATTCTCGCCCGTGATTAAGAAACGCCGGGCTATACCCGGTAATTTCATGCCACGCGGTGTTATAAACGAAATGTAACGCCTCAATGTTCTGATCCCATCGGCGATGATTTCGGTTGATATATTGCTGTATCATCGTTTTAATGGTTTTATTTGTTCTTTCTACCGGGTTACATTGAGGCGTGTACGCGGGGAAAGTGCGGTGCGAAATGTTGAATGTTTCTAACAATTTTTTGTTACAACAAATTGTCCGGTGATAAATTGCCTCCTGTCGGAGATAAGGGAAACGCGGGCATCCGTGTCGATAAATGATATGATTCTCGACGGCTTGCGCGACAGCCGCGGCAGTGGCATAACGGAGCGGTTGCAATTCCACCCATTTTGTGAAGCAATCCTGCATTATTAACAGCCACGAATGCCCGTTTGCCGAGCGGGGCAAGAGTCCTATCAGATCTATCGTTATTTGTTCTTACGGATATGACACAGGAGTAGTATACAGAAATCCGGCAAATCGGCTTTGCAACGATTTATGCGCGAGACAGTTTTGGCAATTACCGAGCGATATCAGAAAACATGCCAGGCCAGTAATCGCGCAGCAATCGATATTTATACGTATCACGCATCATATGCATCACGAGCAATCGTTTTTGCGACCAAGATGATACCGGCTTCATCATGCAGTCGCCGAAGTATTTTGGTACGTTTTTCACGTGGCACGCATTCCTTCTACTGTTTGTCGGCCGGAATTTCACAGAAGTCGGTAGAAAATGACGGTATAGTTTTCCGTTTTCGGGAAAATCGGCCTCCCTTTCACTCATTGAAATTGCCGATGAAACCACGGATATTGGTTTCCTTGTCGAACGGAGTGCACAAAGGGCTGGCGGGAAAGCGCGTCGGCCACGCGGGTCAACTTCCTCTTCCGGTATTTAATATCGAATGTATATATTGTTGGAGCTTGAGTGCCCAGCGGCCCAAACGTTCTGTCGGGGATTCTAGGCGTTGCAGCCATCGAAGAGTGATCGGTTGTGACGGTAAACTCGTAGCCCTCCAGATAGCCGCATAGATGCCGTATTCTCCAGACAACCGCTAGACATTTGAGCTCGGTCGCGCTGTAATTTCGCTCGGTCCCGTTGAGTGTCCGGCTGGCATATGCGATTACTCGTTCGTCCTCTTCCAGATGTTGCATCAAAACCGCCCTGAGTCTGTAGGCACTCGGTTTGCAGTATAAACCGGTGGTTAAAATCTGGACAGGCGAAGATCGGGGCAGTAGTAAGTACCTTTTTAAGGTCATTAAATGAATGTTCTTCCGATCCCCATTGCCACTTTACGCCTTTCTTGGTTAGTCTAGTTAGTGGGACGGCAATGATAGAAAAGTTTGGTATAAAATGCGTATACCACGAAGCCACACTCACGACTATCGAATTTGTTTGACATTTGTGGGTGCGGGCTATTGAGCAATGGCTTTAATTTTATCGGGGTCGGTCTGGATGCCGCGGCGATTAATTACGTGACTGAGATACTTGAGCTTGCTGGTGAGACAGAAATGGCACTTTTCTGGAGGGATTCAGCTGGAGACAGGCGTCGCGCAATCATCGGAATACTTCTGTGAGATGTTCTAGATGTGACTCGAAAGACGGACTCGCGATCACGATGTTGTCTAGATAAACGAAAACGTGCGGTTCGAGTTCGGAGCCGAGCACGCTATCAAGGAACTGAAACGTGGCCAGTGCGGAATGTAATCCGAAGGGCATGACTTTGAACTGCATCAGCCCTCGTCGTACAGTAAACGCGGTCACGAGTTGACTTTTGGGCGCGAGGAGTACTTGCCAATAACCTGTTTGAGATCATTGATAGGTAGCGCGTGCCGCGAAGTTTATCGAAAGTAGCGGCGATGTGAGGCAGCGGATACGCGTCTTTTTCTCTTACGCTGTTTATTTTACGGAAATCGATGCAAAACCGATGTTTGCCGTCTTTCTCTCGGACGATTACGACGGGAACTGGTGGAGGTTTGATTATGCTTTCGTCCTCCATTTTTTGTACCTCTTCGATAATTTTTTGCATCGCGAAATTTCGGGATCGATATCGCTGCTTGATCAGCACTGAGATGGTAACTCGGGTGACATGCGTAACGCGGTCGGTTGGCCCTTTTACGTTCTCGAATTTTTTTCTGTGTCGAGGAAGGCTATTAATTCGCGATCTTCTTGCGGCGTGCGGTGCGTTAATCCTGCAGTGATAGTGTAGAAGGTATGATGATGTTCGATAGAGAGTGGAGGAGGAAGTATAAGGTGCAGACGTGCCCATAAATCTATGCCCACGAGAATCGGGCTGTCCAGGGTTAGTAAAATTTGGAAGGTGTGTTCGAGATCTTTTTGGTGAGTGCGCAGGATTAGGGAGATTTCTCCGTTAGTATCGGCGAGTGCTCCATCGGCTAAATAAATTTATCTTTTGGTGGGAATAATTTCAGAACCAATCTTTTAAGCGTAGCGTGCGGTCTCGGCATTTATTATTGAATTTTGGATTCCGTGTCCAGAAGGACGATGAATTCGCGCACGCCGGTTTTGATGGTAATGTGCAGTGTGTACTATACGACGGCAAGTTTTCCGGCCGGGGTGAGTTGACGGCCTCGACCATTGTGTTTCCCGGACGAGAGTGGCAATCCTTCGTAAGTACCCCGTCTTTGCCACATTGCGAACAAAATTTTCGGGGTCGTTTGCACAAAAAACGATCGTGACCTCGTTGTTTGCATCTCCAATATGTATGCTCGCAATCATAAGGAAACCCCCGGTTGCGAGGGGGTAGCAGCATTTACTCGACATCGTTTCTCCTTTCTGTTTCCACGAGCCTTCTGGATCTTTTCGTATTTGGCTGCTTGATCGATGAGATCGTGTAGCGTTGTTTTCTCGTTTACCGAACGAAGATTTTGTATTCGGCTCGCATATTTTCGTAAAGTCGATCTACTTTTTCCGGTGTTGAGTAGTTGCCCGCGCGACATTAATGTGAGTCACATATTGAGAAAACGTTTCGCCGGGGCATTGCCGCCGATCGCGAATCTCTAATTTTACTTGATAAAGCGATAGAAGATGACGGCAGAAATCGATTAAAAAGTTCTCCCAGCCTGACCATTCGCTCTCATTATTGCGGTATCACGACAGCGCATTGCCTTTGAGTAATTCGGGTAGCCAACATTATTTCGTTCGAGTATCGGTATTGTCGTTGTAACTCGGCCAGTCTTTCTAAAAAGGGGAGGGGATTGCGATCGTCGAAGTGACACCTCCATTTTCTGATCTGATTCATGGTTTTGGCAATTTCGGTTCGGCGGGGGGGGTAAGGCGGAAAGAGGTGCAGGTTGTTCTGGTCCACAGACGATCTGGCTTTCAGGATCGGCGTGACGTTCGGGTGGCTATTTGCATACATTCGTAAACAGCGGTGAAGGTCTTCGAGAGTCGCGGTTGTGTCGAGACTGAATGATTGTGCTACACAAAGGGCGTTTTGCTTTGAGAGGTTTTGTATCCAGGCTGGCGTCTACGATTCTTTTTAAAATGGTTCGGGCGCGATATAATGGATGGAAGGAAAACGAGAATATTGAGAATGTTCAGTATTCCGTGGAAGAAAAACCCGAGAACTTTTCGATTTTTCGTATAAGGATAGAACGTGAATATTGAGAACACTCGGTATTTGGATGAGAAGAATTCTCGCGTCGTTCGGATCGAATCGGATTCGGAAACGGACAGATAGGTCTGATTTTCTCTG